ACTTGTCAGTCATTTAATGGGTTTCCATCAGATTCCTTTGTCCATTTATGCCAGTACACACAGACAGACAGACACACACACACACTTATTTTTACATTGTCATGTGTATAGTCTGTTCTGGTTTTACTTTTTTCACTCGATTGTACTGACTAAAGGACAATATTGCAAAAGGATGCTGACTGGGGCAACATGCAGGGCACACTTGTACTTTCTTCTATACAGACTTTTCTAATCTCAGACCATATAACCATCTCTTCTGTACAGTTTGTCCTAAATGATTCTATGACTCTTTTATGACTACATGATACCAACTTAAGCTTGTTCTCCTATTGGTCCAAATGTAGACAAGGGCCATGTCGTCTAACTCTTTGGGGTTAGGCCACAAAAAAAAACAATTCAGTACTGGGCACAATGTCGATTCCCTAATAAATGCTGGATAAATAGTTTTGCCCAGTCTTGCCTGTGACCACACACTGACGAAACAGCTGGCTTGGGTGAGAAGCATAGCTTGTGGCTAGGGAACATTTTCTGTGTGTGAAGGAAGCTTGGGCAATGTGAGGATCAGATTTATGTTCCTGGCAAAAGTGCTCAGTTCTAACCAGTCTAGACAAGCCCCACAGAAGTATCCATAGAATGCTCTTTCATGACTTCCCTGTCTCTACTTCCAATTAGTGTTTTCTAATTTGGGTTCTAAAGCTCTTGGGGTAGAAGGAATTGAAAACATCAAATCTCGGTGCTGGACGAGTCCTGACAGGCCATTATTTAGTCTACCTCCGTATCTTTAGGAATGGTATTTAATTTTTTTTTTTTCATTTATTCAGATTTAAAGCTCTTGCATACCCTGTGCTAGGTGTCTGTAGGGGGATATCAGAATAATTAAGACCAAGTTCCTGGACTCAAGGCATTTATCTGGGGCTAAAAATTAGTGTTTAATTAAACTGAATATTAACAGGGAAGTTTGTGATATTTAACACTGTAGTGGTGCAAAGTACTCCAGGAATCTAAAGGATAGGTCACTATTATAAGCACATAAGAATTCATCTTTTTAAAAAAATCCTCAAAGGAGATTCTGCAATATCACTCAGAAACCTAACCCAAAGTTACAACTGAGGAAACTTTTCCTTAATTCTAACCTAAATCTCTTACACTGCAGTGAAAGCCTACTTCTTACTCTGTCATTGAAAATGACTACAGAGAAAGATCCTGGTTTAAAATGGAAAAACAAACAAACAAACAACATCTTATCACCTTTAATTTCTAGTGTGGCTGAAATATCAAAGGCTAGAGTGATCCAAAGGAAAAAATGGGATAACAACATTCCTGTGGGTTTGTTCTCTCCTTTTTTTCTCAGAGAAAACTCTTGTCATTTCTAAGTGTTACATCATCTTTGTGGAAGGGGTGAGCCATACCTTTCTAAAGGGCAAGGGTGAGGCCATTGCTCAGATAGCTAAAAAGTTGTATTATAAAAGACAGAAAAAAAAATTCAAACATAGCCAGCTCTTGTTTTATACTTTTATACTTGGAGGAGGCTGGTGGAAAATAAAACCCCTTAGAAAATCAAAGAAAATGCCATGTTGGCCACCTCCCCAAACTCATGAGCATTTTGGCTGTCTAAATGCTAAGGCTGCTGAAATGTCAGCAGATAAATCTAGCAGGCACAAAAACAAGTTCATTAGTCAGTACAACTCCAAACCTAGTAGTAATAGCTCATTAGGACAAAAAAACTTAAGGTTAAATAAAGGAAATGCATTTTGAAGTTGCTTTTTCCTAAAATAGCAATTATTTGATGAAATTACTGGTTACCCTGGTTTCTCCTCTTCACGTGGTAATAACATATGTAGTACTGTATGCATAGTGGCTGAGGCCACAATCCATATGTTTTAGCAGCATCACATGATGCATCATATCCTGTCATGACTCACTTTTGAGTGAAGGCATTTTCACAAAACAAACTAGTCATCACTCACCTGTTCACTGTAGAGAACCTGGACATTTTTAATGACACGACAGTATTTCTGGAGAATTGCTACAGCCTGAGCCAATGGCATTCCTGAAACAAAAGAATGTTACCAGTTTAGTCACTGATGTGACAAATTTAAAACAGCAGCAGCAATGGGTATAAGAATAATAACACCATGCATGGCAGAAAGAAGAGTAGACGGGGGTCAGGAGATCTGGGTGACGGTCTCAGCCTTACCACCACTAAATAGCTGTGTCATTCTAAGCAAATCACCTCCTTTGTCTGGATCACAATATGTGTGTTCTTCGTTCGTAAAATGAGGGGGTCAGACTAGATGAGCTCTAAGGCCTAGCATTCTATGATTTTAACTATAGTATATAACCATAAAAATATAGCCACACTAACAAAGCTATTTACATATTATTTCAGTTAGCAATTGGCTGCTGAAACATTTGCTATTCTTTGACCCAACTGAAAAAAGGCTCTAATTACTTAGCACTTGACATTCATATTGCTTTTTTACTTTAAAATACATTACCACAGATTATAGGTACAGGATGCTTCCATCAGGCTAGAACCAATGACTATATTTTATATAATTATAACTTAAAATTTTGTGATTTTGACTATATGTAAGCACTTGAGGGTATTCATTATTCTTACTAATCAAGACCCGGCTCTATAATCTGTTTAAAAAATCCAAATTTCCATAACAATTTTTCAGAAGGTGACTCAAGTACATTTAAATGTTGCTGTGCATAGGACTGGATGTACATACTACTTTTTGGAACATATTTCTAATATACTATGTTCTTAGAAAGCAAGAACATAGTATATTCTTTTCACCCCATCCACCTTGGTTCAGCTAAGTAAAAAATTTCTGACATAATAGGAGTTGCCAGTTTGTTTTTTTTTAAACAAAATCATACAATCTATAGGCAAAATCATACAATCTATAGGCAAAATCACTGTTTAAGGCAGAAGAGAAATGGGAATGCAAAACAAAACAAAAAAATCACAACTGTGACTCTAAAGTACAATATCTGTCAAGTCTGGCCTTTCTTATTTTATGGTTTGAACACAAGGAGCTTCCTTTTCTCCCTTTTAAAAGAACTCACAAAAACATACAGACCAAGTTAAAACAACCGTTCAGCGACAAATTATTTGAGTAGCATGAATGATGAACTGGGCAATCAGGAGGTGCTAGATTCATTCTGCCTAATAACCATGGGGAAGTGGCTTTTCACCACCTGTTGCCTCAGTTCCTTCAATTCCTGAAACAGGAGGGTCACCTGTGCTTTGACTCAAATATACAGTACATGTTAAAATACTAGAAACTGTCTTGTTCAATTCCCCTCCTCCCCATTTTACGTAAGAGGAAACTGAGGCTCCAAGAAGGGAAGTAACCTATCCAGGGTCACATGGCTCATAAATGACAGAGACAGAACCTGAATCTAGGCCTTCCTGACTTTTAATGACTATATACTTCCCATTAAGCCACACTGCTATTTCACACCCCCCTCCCCCTTTTTTAACAGAAACATACAGGGGACAAATAAGATCAACCTTAGTGGAATGAATTACATAAAGAAATAGATGCTTAATGGAGTGATACAGTTATGTGATACAGCTGTATATCATGTGTTAGCCAGAAAAGGGTCATTCTCCTAAGAACAGAATGATCTCCAACAACTGGAAGTCAGTTTCTTTAAATCAATCCTTCAGCCACCATGACAGGAAGTATGTGTTGCCCAATTAGCCCAAAGGGCATTACTGAGTGTGAAGCCTTTGACCCAAAGCATTATTCCTTCAATCTCCAAAAACAACAGATAAAAGCTTAGTAAAGAAGCATTGTGCCTGCACAAAACAGCCACTTAGGAAACAGAACTGCAAAATTTGCTCTAATGGCATGTTTGTTACCTTGATCTAAAATACAGCACTGGTTAGAATCACAAAAAAACAACTGTTTGCCTTTCATTTAATAACAGATATGTCAAATTTGCTGATCTTTCCCCCATTGGTATGACCTGGATATGAAGTGATATTTATACCAAATTTTCTTCACATGACTCTATCCTTAGGTTCTAAAGACTTAGTAGTGGTTGAATCATTCAATTCTATATCTCTTGGGGAGGGAGAGCAGTAAGGACTACAAAAAACCAGCTTGATACCTCAGTTCCAAAAAGACACTGATACTATAAAACCATCCTGTCCCTGAGGAACAAATTTCTTTTTTTAATCTATCTATTTATCTATCTATCTTTAGTTTTCAACATTTACTTCCCTAAGATTTTGAGTTCTAAATTTTCTCACCCTCTCTCCCCTCCAAGGGCAGTCTGATATAACCATACATATACATTCATATTAAACATATTTTAACTTTAGTCATGTTGCAAAGAAGAATTAGAACCAGTGGGAGAAACCACAAGAAAGAAACAAACAAACAAACAAAAAAAGAGCAAATAGTATGCTTCGATCTGCATTTAGACTCCATAGTTCTTTTCCTGGATGTAGATAGCGTTTTCCATCATGAGTCTTTTGGAGCTGACTTAGATCCTTGAATTGCTAAAAAGGCAGAACAAATATTTCAAAAATGGATCAGCAACTAAGTCTGATCTTTGTCAGAAACAGAAAGACACATTACCTCTTAACTGTTTACATCCAAACAAAGGAATTCTTCCTTAGATTTTTAAAGCAGTTGGCAAGAGGCAGGTAAGAGGCACAGTGGATAGAACTCAGGACCTGGAATCAGGAAGACCCAAGTTCAAATCCAGCCTCTCACACTAACCATGGGACCTTGGGCAAGCCACCTAACCTTTGCTTCAGTTTCCTCATCTGTAAGATGAGGATAATAACAGGGCCTACCTGGAAGGGTTGTTGTGAGGATAAAGCACTTAAGCACAGGGCCTAGCATACAGTAGGTGCTATACAAATGTTAGCTACTATTATTATTGTCGTTTTTTGAATCTACATTAGTGCTCTGGAATCACCTCATCAGGCAACTCCTGCAAAGGATGGGATTAACTCACATTTCTGTTTATATGTGATTTATATAGTTTATAAGTGACTTTCCTCATAATTCTGTAAGGTAAGCAGCACAGGTAACAATACTACTCTATCTAACAGAGCTGAGGACAAGAAAGAGGAAGTAATTTGTCTATGGTCTAAAAACTCCTTAAGTGATGACGCTGGTGACAGAACACACCTTTGATCACCACACCAATGTTTTTTTCCATTGTATCAGGATAGATCTCCAACTCGGTTTATCGGACCACACTATGGAGTCTGTTTATTTAGGAGATCATGTAATTCTCTTTTCACTAGTTTACTTTAGTTACCTGTTCTCTTTCTAAAAAAAGAAAAACTCACTGCTTCTTTATAACAATCCATTCTCCATATCCCACCTGTTATGCACATACCATGTGTCAGGCACAGTGCTAGGTGCTTGAGTATGTCATATTACTCAATCATCATCTTCACTCTTCCAACACTTAACTGAACAAAATAAATTGCATGCTCACCTTTTCCTCAGTTATACCATTTTTGCCTGGTATAAATGCTATGCTACTCAGTCATGGGATTTCCTGTCTTCTAACAAAAATCTCCAGCGCCAATCTCTGCTAAATAATCTTACATTATTTATTAATTTTCCAGAAGAAAATCACTATTTTTTTCTTTAAACCAACAGCCTTCAGCTTATGTTCCAATCTTTGCTGAATCTCAGAATGAGCTGGAAGAGCAACTGCAAAACAATTTGTAAACTTACTTTTACTTAAGAAAACAACAACAATCAAGCTGATTTTGTATAAAGTTCAATTTTTTTTTGTATTAATGATACAAGGGTGGGGAACCTGTGGCCTTCTAGGCCCTCAAGTTTGGCCCTTCAGAAGTGAAAAATTAGGAGACTTGCCCAAGGTCCCACAGTGAGTATCAGAGGTTGGATCTGAACTTAGGTCTTCCCGATTCCAGGTCCTGAGTTCTACTGATTCAGTCAAAGGGCCACAGGCTCCCCACCCCTGAGGAAAAATGTCAACTAAAGAGAGCTGGACTAGATGACCTCAAAGTCCTATCTAGCTCTAATCTATGATCCTATGTAAAAAAGAATATACACAGGGCAGTAGATAAAGCACTGGGCCTGTTGTCAGGAAGACCTGAGTTCAAATTTGGCCTCACACACTTCCTAGCTGTGTCAACCTGGGCAAGCCACTAACCTTGTTTGCCTCAGTTTCCTCATCTGTAAAATCAGCTGGAGAAGGAAATGGCAAACCACTCCAGTATCTTTGCCAAGAAAACCCCAAATGGGGTCACAAACAGTTGGATATGACTGAAAAACAACTGAACAACAAATGTCTATAAAGTTCTTTGTTACATAAAGCACTATATAAATGTGAATTTTGCATAGTGGAAAGAACACTGGATTTGCAGTTGGAAGATGTAGATTAAAATCTCAACTGCTTGCTACGCTACCAGTGTGACCTTACACAAATGCCTTTCCATCTTTGGGCTACAGTTTCAACCAGCTGTGAGGATGAATGGCCTAAATGATCTCAAAAGATCCCTCCCAGTTCAAAAAACATATACTTCAAAATTAACATAAAATCAAATTTACAAATAAGTTAAACTTCAAAATTCACTTTAATGCTGAGGCATCAAAACGTCTTCCTAAAATAGCTTCCAGATAGTCAAGTGATGAAATAATTTTCTCATCATTCCATGTCTGAAAAGCTGAAAGTCAGTTTTTGCCCAGGCAGTAGTGACCTGCTTAACCCGTTAAGGGTTTATTTGGAAAAGCAGGACCTGTTAGATTTCACATTTACCCACCAGTCCTAACTCCAATTCCAGGAAGGGCCAGGAGTCAGCAAAGAGAGACAGATGATGCTTAAGCCACAGTGTGAAGGGATTCAACAGACATTTAATTCCTAGAAAGGAACAGGTATGGGAGGAAAGTACTTAAAGACAAGAGTCACAATAGGGCACACAACTAAACTGTCAACTTGGTTCCTTCAGTATCAGGTTCCCACTTTCCTTCCCCCTGAGATTTTGAATGTGCCTACTACATCCAGATTCTAGCTACAAAACTGTCAAGTACACTCTCAGACTGCAATTGTGGGTCTGTCTAACCCTTTGAAGATGAGCCGAAGCAGGGATGGTGATGTTTGAAGTGAGGATTGGGAGGAAAACATGCCAAGGTAATTAAAAAGCTCAACCTTGATGGGCTTTCCTGACTTAAGTCAGTATCTTGAATAGATCTGGGAATAGGGAAATAATTTCACTAGAGTACTAATTCTGTTCTTTACTGCTCAGATCACACTGACATTGTGCTCCAGCTAAGACTTCTGAGAGATGTCAAAAAATGTGAATAAGATCTGAGGGTTGACCAAAACCACAAAAACAAAATCACTCCACACTACCCGTTCAAAAGGGGTTAGTATTTTCCATTGGAGGTAGTCACTGGGCAGAGAAATAACCACCATAGTTGAAGCCCCAGAAGGAGTACCTAGAAAATAATTTTTCACTTAACTGAATTCAATCAATTTTTAGCCGCACCTCTGGTGCCAGGCACTGAAGATACAGAAACAAAAATCAAAGTCTTTGAGATAAAAAGATCTTCTATTTGCTACATCTTATCAAGAACTGTAAACTGAGAGGCAGAAAAATCTCCCTTGGTACTTAAAGACAATTTTCTTGAATTTGGGTGCAAACTGAATTACAATTTTAAATAACTCAGAATATGTTGAACTTCAATGGGGAAGAAAGGGACAATTTCAAGAAGAAAAGTGTTCTGAAAGGTACATAAAAACATAAAAGGGATCCATAAGTTGTTAGCATCAACAACCTTTCCCTCCCCCCTTTTTTCCTAGAGGCCACACACTGAAAATGCAGGGCACTCATGTTACTAACGTGATGAGCAAACCAATCCAAGCCCAAGTAAACAGAAAGGTGAAGATCTGGTTGGAAGAGGAGGGGGGAGGGATTAACCCCAGCATTCAACAGGGAAAACAAACAAACTAACAAGGTGAGGAGGGGGGAAACTCAGGCCTACCGTAAGGCAACCAGCCTTTATTAAGGTTAGACTTGATTAGACTAGGAGTTCCTTGGGAAAAGGCAGTGTGCTTTCTTGCATTTCTCTGAATCCCCGGCGACAAGCAAGCATTCAGTAAACGCTTGTGGAGCTGACTTGATTCAACACTTACTACAGGCCAGGACCCACGCTAAGCGCTGGCCTCAAGCTTCCCCCGAACTAGGATCCTGCAAAGGGGCCGGCCCATCTCCCGGCCGGACGTGGGGCGGAGGGATGATATTAGTTGGCCGGAGACAGGGGGAAACACCTGTGGGAAGTGGGGAGGAAGGGGGTAGGAAGGGCTTCTGCCAGACATTACCCGTCCAAGCCCGACGGCAGTGGGGAAGGGGTGCACACCCGGGCTGTGTGCCTACACACACTTACCTGGGGTGCGCACCCGCGCACACACCGGGGATGGGAGGAGACTCGCTTCGAGCTTCATACCAGGTCCCGAGCTCTCGCTCCCGGCTTCACCTCCAGGGTGTGGGGGTGAGACACACTTCTAGCTCCATAGCTGGTCACTCTCGGGGTCACACCCCCACCCCCACGGCTTCGCACTTAGTCTCTCTCTCACTCACACACACACACGCGACTTCCCACCCAGAATGGGGGTCTCTCCCCCCACACCCCCCGCACTCACCCAGCGTGAGCTCCCATTGCTCGTTGCCCAGCGATCGCTCGGGCACCACCTCCAGGTCGAGCATTGGCCCGGACGGCCGGGCCGTGGCGGGGCCCGGGTCTCGCTCTCGGTAGGCGCTGGGCGGCTTCCCGCGGCGGCAGGGCCCGAGCGGAGGAGGCAAGGTGCTGACGCCGCCGGCTTCTCCCTCGCCGCCTGCTGAGCCGGCCTGCGGTCCAGGTCCCGCCTCCTCTCCTAGAACCGCCGGCGCGGTCCAGCCAGCCTGCCGACGCCCCTTGCCTAACCTCACCGCAGCTCCCCTCACCGGCAACAGCGGCTGCGGCTGCGGTAAAAATGCCGTACGACGGCCGTAAAGCGCGCAGGGGCGGGGAAAGGGGCGGGGACGAGCCCGGGGGCGGGGCCTGAGATGAATCCCTCCGGGGGCGGGTGAGAGACGTGACGTGGGGGAGGAGGAAACGGGCGGGGGAGGAGGCGCGGGCGTCTGCGCTGGGGCGGAGTCGGAAAGACTGTACCATCGAGAGGGGGAGATAGGGCTGAACCATTGAACGTTACTTGACCGGGGAGCTGAGCCAGCACATGCGTGGTACAGCGCACGGAGCCCGGCTGTGCCTGAGAATAAGCCTGTCAGATTGTCCCACGTTACTGAGGCTGTTCTCCCTTCTCTACATCCCACAACTCTTACACGTTTCCCCTCGCCTCCCATGGAGAGGTGGCCCTACGCCTTTCCCGGACAGCTCTTCTTTCTTCAGCAGATTTCCCCCACTGCCTCTCCCCACTCCAACCCCGAGCGCCTTCATTCCCTCCCGGCATCCTTCCCTGCAGTCCACACGGGCTCGTCGCCTTCATTCTCAAAAGCCACTAGGGGGTGCAATTGGGAAAGACCTGAGTTCAAATTTACCCGCAGACCTTTGGTAGCTGGTTGACTCTGGGCAAGTCCCTTAACCTCTCTACCTCAGTTTCCCCATCTGTTAAATGGGGATAATAGCACCTAACTCACAGGGTTGTTTTGAAGATCAAATGAAATTACGTGCTTTGCAAACCTTTAAGCACTGTATAAGGCTAGCTACTATTGTCAAAGAAAGCAAAGCGAATGCTGTACTCTGCATTTAGGCAACAGTTCCATTTTATACAACATTAATTCATACCCAAACATTTCTAGCTCGGAGAGAAATGTCCAAACTAGTATATCCACCCCATGACTTCCAACACGACTCTTTGCCCCCAAGAGGATTCTTTCAGCTAACATTTATAGGAATCTTGAGTAAGGAAAGATATCTTAAAATACAGTGGAGATTTCACATTGAGGAATTGAGCCACCAAGTTGCCATCCCATTCCTCCAGGGTTAATGACTTCCCTTAGGGTCATTGTTGTTCAGTGGTCTTTGAATCTCCACAACCCCATCTGGAGTTTTCTTGGCAAAGACACTGGTGTGATTTGCCATTTCCTTCTCCAGCTCATTTGACAGGTGAGGAAACTGAGGCAAACAGGATGAAGTGATCTGTCTAGGGTCACACAGTGTCTGAGGCTGAATTTGAATTCAAGTCTTCCTGACTGCAGGGCTTACATTCCATCTACTGTGCTACCTAGCTGTCCTTCAGCTTATAATTTAATGCCTTCAAGGCATAGAAGAGATCAACCTTTAATCCATTCACCCCTCCAATCTATATAGCAACCAAATCTTAAGGTTTCTACCTGCACCTTGTCTCTGGAATCCATCCCCTTCTCTTTCAGGTCACAAGATCACCTCTCAAAGCCAGGCGTTCATCCCTAGGGTCAGCCTAATTGGTCTCCTGGCTTCTAGTTTTTTCTTGCTATAATCCATCCAGCCAGCTACCACTTAAGTGTTCTTCCTCTGTAACTTTCCTCAGTCAACTCCTAGGATCATAGGTTTAGAAGGGACCTCAGGGGACAGGGAATGTGCTTTATAGGTGAAATGAGGGAACTGATGCCCAGGAAGGTTAGATGGCCTGCCCCAAGTCACCGAGGTAGTATTTGAGTCTAGGTCCAGCGCTGGACCTCAAGTCAGGAAGATCCATTTTCCTGAGTTCAAATCCTGCCTCAGACACTTACTAGCTCTGTGACTCTGGGCACATAAAGCCCTTCACTAATGTGGCTCCATCCTACCTTTCTATCCTTATTATGCCTTACTGTGGTCTACCAGGGGTTGGGAACCTGCAGCCTTGAGGCCACATGTGGCCCTCTAGGTCCTCTAGAGTGGCCCTTTGAATACAAACTTCACAGAACAAATCCCCTTAATAAAAGGATTTGTTTTGTAAAACTTGTGGTGAGAATGGGATCTAGACCCCAAAAAAGAAAAACCCTGGATTTTCCCATAGGGCCAGATCTCTGGCATTAGCCTGAGGTTATAATCCCATCAACTGGCCTTTCCCTGTGGCTACAATCTGTTACCCTAAACCTAGCCTGGCCCTCCTTTGTCTTACCTCCCTATGGCCCAGGCCATTTCCCACCCTTAATCCTATCTAGGCTCCATTCTCCCCTGGCCTCCTTGTCCAGGTCCCTGTAGTTCTACTACCTCATAGACTACTTGGCCACTCCTAGATCCCTCCCACAGTCTTTCTGTATATAAGGTCCATCTTGTCTCCATTAAAGTGCTTAGATTCTTAAAATCTAGCCACTGCTCAGATTTTTAGAACCTAGCCAATAGCTTACTAATGTTCAGACTCCTTAAGAGTCTGCCCAATATGATGGATATTCTAATAAACCTTGTCTTTGGCTAAAAGAAGGTTTGGGTCAAATTCTTTCAGGCAGGACCCGCATGTTATGATTTTGGGGTCCTAGCACCCCTAAACCTCAACACTTGCACTCAGTCAAAAGGCCGCACCCAAGGACCTAGAAGGCCACCTGTGGCCTCAAGGCTGAAGGTTACCCACCCCTAGCGAAATTGGTCTTTTATTTTCTCTGTTCCTCATACATCTCCCATCTCCAGGCAGCTGTCCTGGCTGTCCCTGCACAGTGGAAATGTATTCCCTCCTCACTTCTTCATGTTAGAATCCTTAGTTTCTTTCAAGGCTCAGCTCAAATGCCATCTTTTACAAGAAGTTTTTACTGATCCCCTCTGCTGCTAAGGGGGATCACCCTACATTTCCCCCAAATTATCTGGTATTTATCTTGTGTATATGCATATAGATATATAATATATAATACACACACACACACACACACACACACACACACATATACATATATATGGAGAGAGAGAGAAAGCACATTTTCTTGAGCTACTCTCCAACTCACACTCATATTGACAGGGCAGTCCCTAGAACTCAGCTACCATAACCTACCCCCCAAACACACACACACCAAGAGTTCTCAGGGTAGCACCTGAGGTTGAAGAGTATTTTTTCTAATTCTATTGTTCATGAGCCCCCACTAGTGTGCTTTATCCCATTATTATCAGTTTATATCCGTCAGCTAGACTTAATGAACTTTTGCAAATGAGTATTTACTATGAGAGCATACTTTGTAGACAACATCCCCCGACCCTCCAAAAAGACATGCTCTTCCATGAGTACATAGAGCCTAAGGGAAATTGAGCTCAAGTTTGGAGAGCACATGTAGCATAGGGGTAACTCATGGCTCCTGAAAATCCTTTTGCTGGAGTCCTTAAGATATACCCCTTAGGGAATGATGCATCTTTTCTGCTATGCTCCTTGAAGATCCTTGAATCTACCTTTCTTTGTTTAGTCCAGTTGACCCTCAGCTTCTATTGCAAACGTGGCCATAAGCTTTTCAGAGGACAGGAAGAAGCTCAAAATCCTCCTGACCCTCTGAACCTCACGAATAGTGAGAAGACTGAGGTCAAAGCTGAGGCCAAGGCCGTTCTCTGGAATTATTCCCCCTCCTTGCCCCCCCAAATGATTCCTTCTCAGGGGCTTAGTTGGAATGACTCTTCCCTATTCTGGCAGATGTTTAAATCTTTGGGTTCTGAATGGACTTGCTGTTTTATACAAATTTCACAAAGCACCACCAGTTTCCTCAATGAATTCAAGTGCACTTCCTATGTTACATAGTTTCATTTCATCTATGACTTCTAAATTGATCAAAGACCTTCTAAAGCCTATAATTTATCAATCAATATCTAGGCCTTCTTCATACCTACTTTATACCTCTGATTGATTGTCCTCTCTTGTCACGGGTATCAGGGCATATATCATCACTTATATTAAGTAGGGTGAGGGTAATTGCTCGATTGGCTCAATTAACTGCCAACCTGTGTGCTTAGTATTGTCCCTCTCTAGAATGTAAGGTTTTTTTAGAGTTAGGAGTGCTTCTTTTTTGTTTTTTTTTTTTTTTGCTTTTTGGTGAGGCAATTGGGGTTAAATGACTTGCCCAGAGTCACACAGCTAGTGAGTGTTATGCATCTGAGGCTGGATATGAACTCAAGTCCTCCTGACTCCCGGACTGGTGCTCTGTACACTGTACCACCTAGCTGCCCTTTAGGAGTGCTTCATTTTTGAATTGATATCTATAGAACTCAGCTCAGCGCCTGGCACATAATAGACACCTATTATTGATTATTCGATTGGCCACCCTTCTCCATCTTTAGGGGCAGACATCTGCACTTGGAGTCATAAATTTGTAACTGGAAGGGAACTCAGGGATTGTCTACTCCAAACCCCTTATTTTACAGATGAAGAAACTGAGGCCCAGTGACTTAAAGGTCACCTAGACAGTATCAGAGCCAGTTTTGAACCTAAGTCAGCTGATTCCACATCCAAAACTGTTTCCCCTGTTCCACACTGTCTCAGGAGCCTGGGTTTGAATCCTGGCTCTGTCACTAATTAGTGTGTGACCTTAGCCATGTCACAGCCCCACTCTGGGTTTCAATTTCCTTCTCTGTAAAATGAAAGAATTGGATTTGATTATCTTTGAGGCTCCTTCAAGCTCTAAATCCTAAGAGCACTTTTTGGAGGGTTGAAGGGGAAGCCGATGGACTGATTTGTATCACCCAAGCTTCCCCCACCCCATGCAAACCCAGAAAATTACAGGTATGAGGGGCAGCTAGGTGGTGCAGTGGATAGAGCACCAACCCTGAAGTCAGGACCACCTGAGTTCAAATCCGGC